GTGTAACTAGATAAACTTACACGGAACTTACACATTTCTATTCTATACATATGCATTTTTATATTTTGATATATACTCCCAGAATACGTTTTAATATAATTAAACAGTAAGCCCTCCAATGATCCGAATAGATAAATTACCCTTGTAGTCATCAGGAAACAAACTACCGTCAGACTTACATATGTTGCTATATTTTAGTTTCCTAATGTAAGATCACAATCAGATCTTCACTACTAGGGTAATTATTAGATTAGTTACAATATCATATAAAACAATACAATATCATGATATGCTGTTATTTTTTAATCATATGTTCAATAAAAAAATTGAGTATGGAATAATAATGTGTCATCAAAAGTGTTTGGTATGACAAACAGAGAGAATTAAGGACCAGGTAATTTAAATGTGGATACCCTCTTTAAAGAAGTAATGATCCACAAGGTATTCTACAGGGACTATCACCTTTCTTTCAGGTACACTTGGTCTCCCCACTTATTCATCACACCCTTCAAAAAATTTAAAGGACAAAGTTCATAATTCCACAACAATAATTTGTAATTTCAATAACATTGACAATAATCATTTGAAAGTATCACATCGATGTTGATTGTTATTTTTGACATACAAAGAAAGTATTTTATTTAATCTCGTTTATTATTAATTAATATAAAATTTGAATATAACATTTGATAACATAAAAATAGAAAATATTTATATCTGAATAAATATTTTATTGCTAATTTTTTATTAATATTGTATATTGAACCATAGCAATATGTTTTGAAAAGAGTTTTTAGGATGTAACATGTATAAACATTATAAACAAATAAAAATAAATTATTAATATCCATTTAATTAACTAATATAATTTTTTAATGACAAAGCAAATATATATGTGGGCCTATGTATTTATAAATTTATAAATACATAGGCCCATAAGCACGGCAATAATTGGGTATTTAAAACGTGAAAGAAAAAAGGACATGACACCTGCGTAGGTACGGCGGTCGAAAAAAATGAACCCAGCCCACAAAAGAAAACGTCTATCAACGGCGTAGGCCCCATATTTTATAGAGAATTCTTTTTTTTATCCATAACTTCTAAAATAATTAAGTTAGAATAAAAATAGTTTATATAAAAGTTGTGCTTTTTAGAACGAGGAATAAATTTCATTAAAAAAATTTTTCTCTATTTCTCATAGTTCAAAAATAATAAAATTGTTTATGACTTTTAAATGCACGGATCAATAGAAAAAAATTTCATTTAACTAAGAGTTGAAGATGGATATTAAGATTAAATTTAGAAATTTTATTACTTTCAGAGAAGTCGTAAAATTGTGAAAGAAGGGCGGGTGCGCTTATCCCTGAGTAGTAATAATAAAGTTTATTCCAAAATTCAGGGAGGGTATAGAGCAGTAGGTACTATACTAAAAACATTATTATGTAGGTAACAAAGTTAGTTTTATTACAGCATTCAGTATAGAAGCAATGTGTCAAGTGATACTCGTGAAATGATGTTTTATTATTTTGGTTTGGCACCTATCACTCAGTTCAATTTTATTATCTGTTTATTGTGTTAAAGAATATGGTGCAAATTTAAATTCAAATATTAAATAACATTTGTGATTTTCGATATCAGAATAAATGTTTTAGCAAGGATCCATAAAAATTATTTATTGGTGAGAATATAAATATGATTATAATTATTTAAAATCATTTTCAAATTAATTGTGTGTTGAGTGACTTAATCTATTGAAACATAAAGTCGAAATAGTAATAAATTATCACAAGTACAGTTGGGGAATTTTATCAGGGAAAGTTTATTTTAAATTATAGATCAATTCTAAAAATATTATTATTTTCTTGGTAGTATCTAGTATCAATCCCCTTAAAACAACTATTTTTGTCATTAAGGAAATTATTATATTCGGCTTTTTGATGTTTGTATTCGATCAATAATTCATAATTATATCAATCAAATAATGATGCAGATAAAATTATTATGATGATGCAATAATAATAAAAAACTGATATTTATTTTTACTTTTGAAATATATTTATCTAAGAAATATAAGATTTTTAAAATGATAAACATTGATAAAGTTGAATTTTTGAGTCATTCTGTTCATATGAATGAATTTATTTAAGATGTGTCATAAAAAATTAGTTATCTCACCACGGCGATAAGATTCTTCATTGAGAATAAAAATCGTAATACGAGTTGCCTCTTCTTAGTAGTCATTCCCAACTCACTACAATTCACACCTTGTATATAAAACAAATTATAAAAATAATTTTAAAGATCTATACTTGTAAATATTTATCAACAATCAATTATCTCCTGATAATCTTATACTTTTTTCCTTGTACTTTTATCTTATGAAAATTAAAAAATCTATTAAAATCATCTCAATATTATCACACACATATATATGATCATAATGAATATGTGTAAGAAAATTAAGTGAAAAAGAATAAATTAACATACCCAATGAAGTGTGAACTAACAGTCATACTTAACAACCATCTGCAACTCACAGTTTCAACTAACAGACATACGTAACAAACATCTGCAACTCACATGCATCTCACAATCATTTTTCTCATACATCTAGAGCTTTTTTTTTCATAAAAATTTCCCAAATGATGTAATGGTTTTTTTTTATTTGTCAAGTATATACATTTGTACTGTAAAAAAAGATCATTCTCAACAGAATAATAAGGATCAGAATATTTAAACAGCTACAAAGTTTTTTTTTGGTTTAAGACTTTAAAACTTTAAGTAAAAGGTTTTTAATTGACTGTAAAGGATTACTAAAAAAATTTCCAGTGCCATAAATTTTAAAGGATTGTACATATAATACTACGTTTCCAATGTTAAAAAAATGTGAAAAGATTTTTTTTTACGAATTGTTGAGAATATATTTTTTAAATTTAATTTAAAAAAAATTCAAGAATGTCTGTAAATATACACATAGATCTATAAAATATCCCTATACAATTGGAACGACGAGGGGTGTTGTGTTTAAATGTTATTTACTACCTAGCAAGGACATTTTTTGATTATTAATCAAGATAGTAGCTGCATCATGATCTATAGGGAAATACTATATACTAATGATCTATATATAATATGGATTAACTTGTACTGACAAAGATATGAAATTACGTCATGGTTTCATTCCATCTTGTATACTAAGTCAAAATCATTCATCAGAAATGATTCATTCCTTCTATTTAACATGTACAGAAGAGTCAATCATAATTACTGAGTAAATATTTAAAACTTTAATTACAATATAATTTCTTCAAAAGTACAGATTATCTATTTTTACTGTTAAATGAACTATGTAATTTCATGATACCCTCTGTTTTGCATTTACAATAACATTTTAAACACTAATATACTTTATCATATACGCTACACACAAATGTACAGCAAGTCCTTACAATAAATCTATCATGAGTAAGCTTACAGTAAGTGTTTCACGACTTCCTTTAAATTTTAGTTCCATTGTAAAATTACTGGAATGCATAAATGGTATGTAATGAACGCATGGTCGGCGAAAATTAAAAAAAGCCAACGGGGCACATATGAATGCATAGGTAATACAAAAGCATTACTTTTCTGTGGAGTTCATGTACTTAGTTAGTATCAAGCTCAAATAACGTCAGTTTAGACTTATTTTATTTCAGTATTTTTTTACTTACATTTTTTCACTGTTATTTCTTCTTACTTGAGACTTTTTATGTATGTGTATACAAGTATAATGTATACGTTTATAAATATAATCATTCATTTATTACTAAGAAAGTTATACGATATTCCATATCAAAATACATTACTTGAGAACTTTTGCTGATGAATATTTTTTCTTTGTGCTATATAGCTAAGTATTTCGACTTCAAAGTCTTCAGTGCGGTGTTCATACAGTGCGATAAACTAGTTATAAAATGAACGCTATAGCATGCATTACCGGACAATTTCAGAGGTTGCGAAAAGTATACATCGGCAAAAATTGATATTATTTCATCAATACGCAATATAGATAAACATGTTACAATCCACCTGTCAATTTAACCTTGGTCTTGGATACTGGCAACGAAATGTCAACCATTTACAGAAGAAAATCGTCTATGAAAAAATGTTACGAAGAGTGCGTTACTTTTTTTATTATTATATTTTCTAAAAAATATCTTTTTAATCTCTAAATTTCATGTTTAGTTATTATTTGTATTCAATCTTTATAAGCTTCGAATTATTTCTGACAAATCAAATCATCAACGATCAATATATACCATAAAATTATTTGATTTTTTAATGTTTCAGGCAGAAAAACAATTACGACAGAAAATTTCGAAACGAAGGACTCGTCGATGTATGGATCAGTTGAAAATAAACCCCGTGGTTTATGTTGAAAAACTAGATGGGCGTTTCTTTTACAATTATTTTAAGAGGTTAGTTTCATAAAATTCATCCCCTTAAAACAAAATTTATGAAGTCGTCAAACAGGTTTGTAACTTTCGGTGTAGTAGAGTTTTTCGGGATCGAGTTCAACAACACGGGTGTATGTTACCTTGGTTACTTTCTGACCGTGTGATAGAATCTGTCTGGTATCCACCAGGTATATGCTGTATAGCAAACGTACTACAGTCAAAGCCCGATGTAGTCAACCCCGTTGTAAGCAACATTTCATTCTAGTCAACTAAATGCTTTCATTACAGTCAACTTCCCTATTGAAAGTGACAAGATTTTTTGGGTTGACTACATCGGGCTTTGACTGTATTTCTAATGTCTTGCCTACCATATAGACTTTAGGTAATACATCATATGCCAGACGCTATCTGAAAAGAACCTTGATTTTTCAAGTGACATAATAAATATAACCTCTCAGAGATATGTCATTGCATTCATCTGTGTTTTTGACTTAGGTTTTGACTAAAATTTAATAATAAATAAAAAAGGAAAATCTAATACAAGAAACAAAACCTTTTCTTAACAGATCTAACGTTTTTCCACGGTTCTATCTTGGCAACAGTTGTGCCTATTCACTTTTCACGAGTAGTTATAGATATTCAAGGTATAAGCAGTGGGATTGGTTAGCATCCCCTCTTTGTGTGAGAACCTACAGCTTAGATGCTTTCCTTATGTGTTCCTAGAAGTTGCTGATTAGTTGTCAAAAACCCGTCTTTCTAATAGGTCGGCGTGTGTACATGAAGAAATTGTAAACATAAATTCTATAACGCATAGTTTTGGTGAATTTTTAAATTTTTGTTATTTTGTGAATTTGTTAGAAAAAAATATTTTATTCTTCATCGATAAAATATATCGATGAATTAACTATTATCAGTCAATGATATATGAAAAGTGTTTTAGTAATTAACATATTGGTGTATTGTTTTTAATTATCCAGTTATTACGCATCTTTTAATAATAATGAAATAATACGAGATTGGTATAATTGAATTTTGAATTAATTTAGAATACAATTGAGTGGCAAACTTATATTTGTAACCCAATAATGGCTGGAAATGATAATACATTAAACCCATTATATTATACCAATATATCAAAAGGTTATCCTAGTATAGTAGAAAAACCAATAATTTCTAATGACAGTAAACATTCAAAGTGTGAATCAAGTTTGAAAAGAAAAAGTGACGAATCTTATGGATTGAAATCGATACAACTTGATACGATGAAACACTATCAACAACGATTAAAACAAATATTTATACCTTCGAAAACTCCTCTGTCTTCATCAGAAATGCCTCATTCATGTGATCCACGTAAAATGCGTCAATGTATGAAAGAATGCATGAGAGAATTGTTGGAAAAAACAGATAAATATCCTGCGATAGATGAAATTCAAGACGAATCTTCTGACGAAGATCAGCCCTATCAACCCTTGTACCAATTGCAACAGCATAATAGTAAATCTATCACAACAGTAGATCCTTCAACTGGGCGACTGTGCCAAATGTCTATAAAAACATGGCAGAATTTGCAGATGTTCAATGCTTCAACTACTACAATACAGTCTGAACACAAAAATATGAATTATGGTTTTTTGAAGATTGATAAACCAAAACATGCTGTACACAATAGGTAGTTTGATGCTTTGAATTTTGGAAAAATCTTTATAGAAAGATTTATTTTATCTATAAAATCAAAATATCAATGGGCCCCACTTATACATTAGACTGCAATAAATCTTCTCAGATATAAATTGTCAATTGTTATATTTACCACATTTTTTAATTTTTTCCTTAAATACGGTATTTTATTACGACAAAAATTTTTATATTTTGTTATGAACATGCTTTGAAGTTTTTTTAATGTGGTGAGATCGGTTCGGAATGACTTGTTAATTAAAGAAGTTAATAGCTTAATTAAAATATAAATATTAGGGAACTTAGAATATAAAGTTTTTTATAATATCATTAAAAATTATCTAATTTAATTATATTAATTTTTAATAAACCCTCTTTTTAAAACAAAACAAGATAATGATTAAAATCAATAACATTGTATTTTTCAGACGAAGCAGTAACACTAAAAGCGGTGAATCTACAAGAACTCATAGCAACAATGATGGAAATAATAACAACGACAGTGAAAATGTTAATAATGATTTAGGAAATGTAAACTCCTATCCAGAATTGATTGCAGATGCTGTAGGATCTCCAGTTAAAAAATCAGTGCCTTCAAATAAAGCTACTATTAAGCTGAAATGCAGTTACTCTAAATATAAAAGAATTAAAACCAAAAATAATGAATTATCATCACAAAATTCTTCTGATGACGAAGCAGACGATGACTATGTATCCTTCAGTGATTCAATCAGCCCTTTTAGGCGAAAAGAAAAGACTTCTATGAAATTGCATCTTTATGAGAAATCTGACATACTAAAGAAGAAGAATATAGTTACTGAAAGCGACTGTGCTTCAGATAATATTTATGTACAAACATCAAATTCCGAAGATTCAAGTGATATGGAAACTACTAGAGTTGGTTCATCGAAACATCACAGAATATCACGCATTCCTAATTCATCAAGCAATACAGGAAAAAATGGAACCTTTTCAAGAGAAGAAACGCTACAAAGAACGCAAGGATTTTTTAGAAGAAAAGAATTGAAAGCACAAAGAAGGGCTGAAAAACGTAAAAATGAATGCGCATATGGTGCTACGTCACTTAAAATCAAAAAACAATTCTCACAATATCAAAGATCCATGAATAATGTTCAAATTAGTGACGAAGAAGATACTCAGGATTCCTCATCAATAAAGCATTTACCAAAAAATAGTGAAAACTATACAAGTAGATCGTCACCGCAATCTTCAATTGAACGTGATTTTAAAAAAGCACGTCATATCTCATCTCAATATACAGATAAGAAGCAAAGGAGTGAAAAGAATTCAACGCAAAAGAAAAATATAGACCGAAAAAAAATATCGAGCGATGATTCTAGCTCAAGAAGAGATAGATCATATACTGAAAGTAGCGATAAAAGTAAAACTCCAACTAAAGAAATCAAGAAACAGCAACAATTTGATAATGTAAAAGAGTTGGAAAAAAGTAAGCGACTTGAAAGTCAAAAACAAAAAAATATTCGAAGCTCAATTGACTCTGGAATTGGCAGAGTAACTCCAACACAAGAAGCATTAGATAATACAGAACCTAAAAAACGTTCCAAAAGTTCTAAACATTCTAGGCATTCTGAACACTCTAGTAGCAAGTTTAATTTCGATAAGGAACATGTTGAATCATTGGAGAGAACACATATGAAAATACAAAAAAAACTAAACGAGATGCCAAACAATGAAACAAATAAGAATAAACTATTGTCATTGCCATTCATAAATGATAGTGATGGTTGTAAAACAGATGATGATTTGACATGCGATAATTATGCAAAAGATTGCATTGATCCTAAAAATAACAGTGATGTACATGACGATGTTTTCTTAGAAAATAGTCAAGAAATCTTAAGTACAGAAGTTACAAGTGACAAAAATAAAACAATACATGATGATTCAACTAGTATTTGTGAAGAAGTTAATAAATTATTATCTAACTATTCATCAAGCGATGAAAACGGTGATGATATTAATTCAATAGCAAATAAAAAATTTGTTGATAATTCAAATGTTACAGCTGAATCTATTGAAACTAATTTAATTGAAAATAAAACTAACATTAAAAGTTCGAGTGATAATAATGTGGGACCTGAAAATAACTTAGCTGAATCCAAAGATAATAAATCTATAATTGATAAGAAAAATTTCGATACTAATGATTTTCTAAATAACCAAGAGCCATCAAAATCTAGTCAAAATTGTTCCTCTGATAAAAATTCTAATATTAAATCAAATCAACTTGAGTGTGCTGTAGACTTTGTCAGAAAATATCTCGAAAAACGAACACAAGAAAATCCTGCACTTAATATTGATCAATTGCTATCAAAGCTATTTCAAAATGATGAAAGTGGATGTCAGTGTAAACCTAATACACCACCACCAATACAAAAAGATCCTAGCGAACCTTTGAATAAAAATTCAGAAAAAAATTCAAATGTAGCAGAATCAGTGAAAGCTTGTGAATTCGACGATAAAAATCAAAATCCAGAAAAAGTTGAGGTGCAGAATCCAGTATTTATGCTTAATGTTCTTGTTGATGTTCATCAAGTTGAAAATTCTAAAATAACAACTTCTACACCGTCTACATCAACAGTGACAGTAACATCTTCAACTAATTCACACAATTTCTCAACGATACATCCAACAGCAGCATTACCAACGACATCATTAATAACAAGCGGATCACAATCGGGTTCACATTTTGCAATGAGTAATAAACCATGCTCGTTAACAACATTAGCATCACAAATATCAACTCCTACTCTCTCAACTGCAACACCAACAACTCAACAGTTACCTCCATATCGAAGTCCTTCGCCTGAGACGTTACCAACTCCAACAAGCCAACTACCTCCACATCAAGATCCTTCAACATCCTTATCATCAACATTAATCATCCAGAAACCACCACCATGCAGTAGTTTATTTCCGAATGAACACTGTTTGCAACACGATGACTCGTCAGGTAAAAAACCAGACTTCCAAGAAAATAAATCAAATATTCTTCGGGAACAAGAAATTCTTGAGAGTAAGGATTGTCGTCAATTGATGTATGAAATAGTTGAAAGTATACTTAAAATACGAAAATTCTTCAAAGAATTTAAATCAATAATTCGAGATCCAAATTATAAGCCTTTCAATTTTTCGGCGCATCCATTATATATATATGTGAAAAAAATTTTTCAATACATGATGAATTTACGAAAATTACTGAAGTGTGATTGGGAATCATTATTCACTAAATTAATGTCATATAGTCAATCATTAGAAGATAATTCTAAACAAATTAATTTACATGATTTAGGAACTACTGTGCAAATTTATTGTTGTGGAAATGATACACTGACTAAATTATCATCAATCGATCCGCAAAAAGGAAAAACTGTAAAAACAACATCTGGAGATTTAAATAATCCAAATACAGCAGTAGGAACGATTCAATCTTCTTCACCTTCCAATACTATGGAATCTCAAGGTAAAAATTGTATTGATGTATTTTAATTAAAGTATTCACTAACAAAAAAATTTATAGGTAACAGGTCCACTGTTTCTGGATGTGCGTTTCCTAATTATCCTGGAGAACTAGTGACAAATTCTTTTTCATCCCCAACGATAAATTACAATCTACAAAGTCATTCACAACCGGAAAGATCTGCATTACAACAATCAAACACAACTGAAGCAATGTCAGCCTTCACAACATCTAAAAGCATGGATCAAAATCAACAAAATAGTCTTCGAAATGCAATGCTATTAGAATTATTGACCTCCTATGGAAACAATCAAAACCCCAATCAGTTTCAAGCTTCAGTAAATCAACCATCTAACAATATTCTAACACAAGCGCCTGTATTATCTTCAGACATTCATTACAATCAGTTCCAACAACGAAATATTTATCCATCACCAGTACCATCTCCTAAAGTCAATAACGATGAACAACTTTATAATCTACCTAAAAGTTCAATAAATCAACAATTCAATAATCAAGCTGATAATTTAACGCCACAACAATCAAACGTGATGACAACACCAGTAGAACTTTCCAACACATATAATCAACAATATTACAATCAACAATTGTACAATCAACAACTCTATAATCAACAACTTTATAATCAACAACTCTACAATCAACAACTTTATGATCAATCTAGATCTTCCATGTCTGGGCAATCAAATATTGTTTCAAACCCAGTACTTTCTTCTAATGCCAACAATAATCGAAAATGCAATTATCATTCAAAAAATTTAACTGTTCCTCAGCCAAATATTGCCTCACCACCAGTATCAGCTTTTAAAACTAACAACAATCAACAATACAATAGTCAAATGAATACTTCACCATATCAACAACCATATACTGTCTCAACACCAGTGGCTCCAACTAATATCACCAACAATCAACAATTTCATAATCAAGCGATTTATAATCCACAAATTTATAGCCAATCAACTTCTATGTATCAGCAGCAAAATAAAGCCCAAACACTAGCATTATATCCTAATGGTAATAATAGCCAACAATACAATAATGGAGTCAGTGCTTCAATGTCTCAACAATCTTACATTTCTTCAGCATCAAGATTATGTCACCCTAGCTGTAATCAAATCAACACGCTGAATTCTCAAAAGCCGAATATGGTTCCAATATCAGGATTGAATTCCAATGTCAATAACAGGCAGCAGTACAATAATGGACCGAATATTCCATTATCACAACAAAAAAATATTGCTCCAACGGCACAATTATCTTCCAACAATAATCAACAATACCAAAATCAGACAAATACTTCAATTCCTCAGCAATCAAATTTGGTTCCACCGATGATATCATTTTCTCTAACTAACAATAATCAACGGTATAACAACCAACCTGAAGCTATAATATCTAAGCAACACAAAATTTCGGTAGCTACATCGCTATCTTCTACAATCAACCCTAATCAACAGAATTACAATCAGTCTGAAGTTTTAGCTCAGCAACTAAAAAATGTTCCCACATCTACGAAGGTCAAACGATCTCAAAAAAAGGTTTTAGGAATTGTTCGAGATAAACGGTCTAGTAAAACTATTCGGGCTCAAATGCAACAGTCTTCAATTAATTTACCAACTGCAGTACAAACTAATGTTTTACGACCAGCCAACCACAACACAACTTATCAGGATCAAGTACAAACCACTATTAATCCACCACCTGCAGTACAAACTAATGTTTTGCGACCAGCTAACCACAACACAACTAATCAGGGTCAAATACAAACCACTATTCATCCGCCAACTCCAGTACAAACTAATGTTTTGCGACAAGCCAACCACAACACAGCTAATCAGGTTGTAGCACAACAGTTTTCAATCAATCCACAAATTTTGGTACAATCTGGTGTAATGGACCAAGTCAACTATAGTACAACTAATCGGATTCAAGTACAAGCCACCATTAATCCGCCAACTCCAGTACCGTCTGATGTATCACGACCGATCAATTTTAATGAAGTTATTCAATCCCAAGCACAACTGTCTTCAATCAACCCACAAACTTCGATACCATCTGGTGTAATGCAGAAAATCAACCATAGTACAGCTAATCGGATTAAAGTACAAGCCACCTTTAATGTGCCAATTTCAGTACCGTCTGATGTATCACAACCGATCAATTTTAATGAAGTTATTCAGGCTCAAGCACAAACGTCTTCAATCAATCCACAAATTTCAAGACAATCTGGTGGTTCACAAACAGCTAATCATGGTAGTACAACAAATCGGTCTCAAATACAACAGCCCTTTATTAACCCATTAATTGCGTCACCCTCTGATTTATTGAAAAAAATTGACCATGTCCAAAACAGTCAAACTCAAGCCCGGCAGCCTTCTACCAACCCACCAACTGCTGCACAATCAGGTGTATCGCAGAAAGTCAAGTTCAGTACAGCTGCTAATCAAGTCCAAGTACAACGAATCTCCACTAATATACCAACTTCGTTACAGTCGGGTATATCGCAGCAAGTTGATTATAGTACAGGTAATCAGGCCCGAGTGCAACTAAATTCTACAAATCCATCAACTTCAGTACAGTCTAGTATAGTACAACAAGCCAACGGGAGTGAAGTTATTCAGGCTCAAGCACAACTCTCTTCAATCAACCCACAAACTTCGGTACAATCTGGTGTAATGCAGCAAATCAACCATAGTACAGCGAATCAGATTCAAGTACAAGCCACCATTAATCCGCCAACTCCAGTACCGTCTGATGTATCACGACCGATCAATTTTAATGAAGTTATTCAGGCTCAAGCACAACCGTCTTCAATCAACTCACAAACTTCGGTACCATCTGGTGTCATGCAGCAAATCAACCATAGTACAGCTAATCGGATTCCAGTACAAGCTACCTTTAATGCGCCAACTTCAGCACCTTCTGATGTATCACGACCGATCAATTTTAATGAAGTTATTCAGACTCAAGCACAAACGTCTTCAATCAATCCACAAACTTCAGTACAGTCTGGTGGTTCACAAACAGCTAATCATTGTAGTACAACCAATCGTTTTCAAATACAACAGGTCTTTATTAATCCACCTTATTCTGTACAGCCTAGTGGATTACACAAGCCAATTTTTATACAGTTAGTCAGGCCCCAGCTCAACTGTCGTCTACTAATTCCACATTTTTGGTATGGCGGTCTGATTTATTGCCACAAACAACCCGTAGTGAATCTATTCAGGTTCAATTACAGCAGTCTTCGGCCAATCCACCAACTTCAATACAATCTAATGAATTACGACAAGATAATCATAATAGAATTTTAATAAAAAAAATAAGCAATGTAGTCACTCCTAGTAATGAACCTGATAGAACAAATAATTCAATAATGGTTTCACACGCTTTAGAATCTCTTACATCACTTCCAATGAATCGTAAAAATGTTAAAAAGGGAAACTCTAGTAAGAAACAAGCTCAAAAAGCAGAAACAATTTTAGCACAAAACATTCCAAAAGTTACAGAAAATACAAAAGTCTGTTCAAAAGAAAGTACACAAGATTCTTCCACTCACACTTCAGTAATAAATAATGAAATAAACAATGATAAAGTGGAAAAAATAGAAAAAAAACAAGATTTAGATGGAAATGACAATTCAATTGGTTCTCAACAAGTTCTAGTACAAAATGAAAATCAAAATGATCTTATACTTGTCGAAGTAAAAAAAGAAAGTAAATTTACAAAAAGGGATAATCGATCAACTCATGTTGAAGATTTGCATGATATAAACTTTGATTTAGGATTTTTGGATGACACCGAATATATTAAAGACTCACAAAAATCTATAAAAGAAAAGAAGTCAAACACGAGTAAAAATGTATCTACTAATCAAGAAATCTCTGTAAAGGCTGAAAAATTATATGATAAAGTTCGTAATAAGTTAGATAATTTTCATACAAAAATAGGATCTTTGATAAACAATGATTTCATTACACTTGATGATAATGAGAATGATGACGATCAAAATGATCTTGATAAAGTATCTATTATTTCATCTGATAGAGAAACTGTTAAAATGGATCAAACTGAAGATGACATACTAATAGACGAAGAACACATTAAAACAGATACGTATATCTATACAAAGCAATGTGTAGGAGAAGAAATCGACTGTGCAATGTCGGGTGAAAATTCAGCTTTTTCTAACAATTTGATAATTGAAAACGTTACGTCAATAACAAGTGATGACTTCAACAATTTGAAAGACGCTGGAGAACAAAGCAATAAATCACAAGCTAACGATGTACCTGAAACTATTGATGTAAAACTGGAAATCGATGAAGAGGAATATTATGTGATAACATAAACAATTTCAACAACCTACAAAAGCAAGCAATATTTAATAGTAGTTAATGAATTAGTCTCAACAATTCGAGTATTCATATACTAAAATATATATATATATTAATATATGTATTATTATTAAATATTACTTAATTGATATAATTAATAATATTAGTAGAATACAAGTATGTTAGATACTTCCCTAAAAGCTAAATTAATACTAAATTAAAAAAAGTAAACTTTTTATATCTAAGGTGTCCAAAGAATAAATAGTTGACTTTATTTGGTTAAAAAAAATCAGTTTTTCTACTTAATTTTTACAGAAACTAAATTGTAATTTTTAATAATATAAAAAAAAACCATAAACTCATTCAGTGCATCTAATAGATTTTTCAAAAATTCATAGTATAATATTTATTATTTTTATACATGAATTTGTTATAATATACACTATCATATCGATGAATAATAATGTTAATATTTTAATGAATTACTAATTTATTTATGGTGGCCGTGTCCCCATGGTGCTTCATAACCTATGCCACGAATAGCATTCCTTTCTGGGTTGAAAAATAGTGAATGCTTTCCATCACCCCATGGCCAAGGCTGTGAACCAATTAAAGTTATTTTTCCGAGAAAATAACATATTTATAAACTAGTACAAAAAGAAAGACATGTAGTGAACAGAGTGGGAGTAACTTGAAGTTTTTAGGAGTATAAATTGTGTAAAATCATTGAGAGGGTCCAAAGAGATTCTCATATTTGTTTACAGAAACTATGAGAATTATACTCGCTCCCAAAAATCAAGTTTTCCCATCTCTGATATGTACGTTATGTAGATGTATTAGAAAATATAACGAATGAAAAGACATTTATTTTCATTGTACTGTTTATAAATGTTGAAAGAAATAAAATATAAGTTTTTATATAATAATTTCTTAATAAATGAATTTTTTTACTTATTTGTGATTAATTTAACTCCAAGGGAACATTAAATTAATATTTTATTAATTATTAGATCTACTTATATTATCTTCATGCTTAAATAATTTAAAAAATATCCCTAAAGCTGACAACCAAATAATAATTATTGTATTGAATTTATGAAAATGTAAAGATAAGACATTTGTAAGAATAATTTATTAAAATAAAGATAGAAAAATTAATCAGTAATTGTATGTTTAAAAATTTATTCATACCTTGTTAATAATTGATAAGTACTCATACTCCACATACTCAGGTCGTTCAAACGTTTCTTCAAATTCTTTTTCAAGTAAATATGCATTGATTCCAGTAATTATTATTGAAGGAAATCCAACAAAATACGTCAAATTTCGCCATAGTCTAATGCTTTCTATAATAATTAAAATAAAATGAATTATAGATTATATAATAAGAGAATAGCTCTCAGGATTTCATCTGTTTTGCACAACTTCACAAATTTTTTTGAACTAATGCAAATTTTTATAATTTACAAAAACTGTGTCAATGATAATACAATGTTTATTCATGATTTTTAGTATTCTAAAATTTTTAGTTAATTAATAATGATAAGCCGTATTTTAACCTTAGAAATGATCTTACATGGCCATGACTAAATCGTTTATCAGGACATGTAAGAGGGAAAATATGTACATATATGAAATAACTTACTATCGATGTCTTTAATTGGTTTTTCACCAGGCACGAATGAATAATCATCTACTACTTCTTTAGAAAAATTTCGTTTCAAAATATGAAAGGGTCTCAAAATCCGTCTTGTCGCCATTTTTGCGTTTGACTGCGATAAAATCAATTTTTTTTCCTGGAGCTCAAATTCGGGGATTTAACTATCTACATTACCAACAATTGTCCAATAAATTCAGCAATAATTATTTTAACTGATAGATGGCATTAAAATTAAATTTTGAGAATATTGCTTTTCTTAGCTGGATCATCTCGCATACATTTTTTTCATAAATTTTTCGAAGAAAACATCTTTACAGGTCATATTGTTATTTTGAAGAACAAAAACAAACATACAATGGATCGTGAATCAATTGAAAAATTTATGGAAGTGACGGGTATGTTGTGACATATGTTTTTCACAAATATCTTGCTATTAAACTGTTTTTCAATCAGCGCCTAATATACAAAAACAAATTATTAGTCTGATAAACAATCAAAAATTTTGGAGTTATTTTATCATAATTGACAATTTCTCAAATTTTTATAGGAGAGAACGAATCTGTTGCTACCCAATATTTAACTCTTGCTGAGGGAAATGTAGAGAATGCAATTCTTTTGATGTTTGAAGGAAATGGACCTGTTGGAAGAGACGCTCCTCAGATTGAGGAACCTGAGGTTCGAGCGCCAATTCTACCGACTCAAGAAGTTTTAGTACCATCAGAACCTGTTTGTTCTTTTCCCAGAACATCTAATAATGTTTTTGATAGGTTTAGAGACTTTTCGGTTGAAACACGTAAGCTTAGTTGTTAATTAATTTATACATAACACAAAAACTCACAAATTACATTACTTAATCCGTAAAAATAATCTTGTAGGTAGACAAGAAGAAGAAATGACGAGGCAAGTCAGTGGTGGCATTAGCAATCCAGTTCTCAATAAAACAAAACGCTTAGAGGATCTATTTCGTCCTCCATATGATATTCTATTCATGGGATCGTTTTCAGAAGCAAGAGATCATGCAAAATCAATAAATCGTTGGTTATTAGTTAACGTACAAAATTCTCAAGAATTTTCTTGTCAAATTCTTAATAGAGATGTATGGTCTGACAAACAGATAAAGGAAATTATCAAAGATCATTTTGTCTTGTGGCAGGTAATAATTAAAAACTTCATTTTATATATCAATATTTCTTTTAAATAATGAAAAAAAAGAAAATATTCTTAAATTCTTCTATAATACAGGTTTTGTCTGATTCATCTGATGGTAGAAGATATATTGACTTTTACAACGTAATTGAATATCCTTATTTAGCAGTAGTCGATCCAAGAACGGGTGAATGTATGCGATCGTACAACAATATTACAGTTGATCTCCTTCTCACGGGATTAAATGATATTTTAAGTAGTCAACCATCTCCAGATAGTTCAGCTGATTCTCCAAATGTTGAAGAATCTCATTGTGAACCATCTTCATCCATTGAACGTAGTGTTTATTTAAATTCTAAGGATTCTGGTAGAAAAATGAAAAAATCTCGTATACTAGATCAAATATCAACTGTTGGTTTGTATTAAAGTATTAAATCAATATATTTTCAAATAATTGTTATGAATTGTACTTTAATAAATTCTTTTTCAATCCCAGGGAATCACAGCCGTAATGGCAATTCTTTTGGACTAAATACAAGTACAGGGAGCTCTCATACGATCCGTGGGAAAAGATCTCGTATTGAAATTCCTGAAGAATTGGGAGATAGTCCATCTAATGAAGCTGCTATGCCAACTAAAGAAGTGAGAGAAACAAAACGACTTTTTCAACTATACTTTAAAATAAATTTGATCTTAAAACAAAAATTCGATTGTTTTAGGATTCAGTGGCAAAAAATTCAAATACTGTTCCAGAAGCCGGTTCAAATAAATCAGAAATACGTAAGTTCTTACTTTTTTACATGTAAATATTATGAAAATTAGTGAATCAATATTAATTGATTTTTTTTGTGGTGATTTATAAACAATAGCTAATGGTGAACCTTCATTGAGATTATGTCTTCGATTGCCTAGTGGTGGAAAAGAAGCTGTATCAATGTGTGCTAATGATACAATTGAGGTAATTTACCAAAAAAATATTATATTAAATTGTTTAGTGCAAGTTTTACGAATGATTCATTATTATTATTATCAACTGTGTAGTACACTTCGATGGTTAAATCATAGTTGAATGTCTAAATATTTATATTACATCATATCTATCTATAAATATTAAACATCTTTACAGGCCTTCATAAAACGTATAGAAGAAATGGGTTTTCCACGATCTGAGCACACATATTTGATTCTATTTCCAAAAACAAATGTGGCTACACTGCCATCTCATACCAGGCTATCTGATACGATTTTATATCCATCCAACACAGTATTCATTACTAAAGTATGAAAAATGACAAAATGTTTTATGCTTACATGATTTTTGTTTTGATCGACATTTGAAACTGCCATTCATAATTTTCAAGTGAAATTAACTATTAAAAAATTAATGTTACAACTATATAAATGAATAAATTGAAGCATAATGTGATTATCAGGAGTAGAGAATAATAAACCGAAACGAATTATTAACACTGCCAGAAAATATTCAGAACATTTTTAGATAATTTCAAACTGCCATTTCGTTCTTTTTTATCGTCGTCTTCATTTATCTAGTCTGGATTACTTATGGAACATAAGTTAGATTTTTATAGTTTTATAAAATATATTTATTAGTTAAAAATTAACGTCCAATATTTTTAAAACAAAATACTCCATTAATAAAAAATGATATTAAATTTAAAATACTAGTAATCCAGATATCTTAAACTTTTTGGCTGTTTTTGATAGTGCGTGATTTGTCTTCCTGAGCTCGAAATTAGATTGTTTTTATCTATTAATTAAGATAAATAACATTTATTACTCTCGAATTTTATGTTAATTAATGTATTTCATACAACTTGAATAATATCCATAGAATATTAAATAATGTTAATAATAATTTATCTTTGATATTAATTCTTAATTATTCATCAATTTTGTGAAGTTGTTTTTATTATAATACATTTAATTTAAGATGATATACTTGAATGTTGTTTTAATATAAAAATAATTAAGACATTATTAAGACATGTAATACTTTGCTTTATGATTAAAAATTCATAAAAATAAATTTTATTCATTGATATACAAAAAAAGTTACATTCAACATATAATTTAATTATAAACCAGATATTTATATAAATGAAATATAATTATTTCCAGTATAGAGTATATTTTCAATCTATTATTCAACCAATGTTTATCTGTACAACTTAATAAATTAATTTTGAATATTCATAAATATAACAATCATTAGTAATTTGATATGAACAAATATTGAAGATTTGTTTGATGAAGACTAGAATTTCTTTCGTTATTTTTTTTTTTTTTATTATGACATTATGCCTTTGAAGCAGTTTCACTTAGTAGTAGTAGCTTTTACAGTATAACTCGATTGAGCTTTTAATTTAATGCTGGCCACATCATCTGTTGTGCAGTGTAACCAAGAAAAAAAATGAATTAAAAATAATTAGCGATGAAGATGATTATTTTTTGCAGTTAACGCAATAGTAAATAATGCTTTACCATATAAAAATACATTCATTATCAATAATTACCTATATTTCTTTTTTAAATATATCTCATCTTTATTATCGTTATCTCTATATGATTCGAGCTCAATCATCCATTGCGTTAACGTGCTATCTAAAGAAAAGAAAAATAGACAAAGTGTTAGAAATAAAGATTTTAATAAACAACATTTATACTAGTAACGATAGCATTGATTAACATTCATGAAAAAATTGATTATTTAATAGTAAAGCAGTTAAGAAAATTAAGCATGAATGCAGATTGAGTATCATGTTAATATTCGTTGAACAATTCGAGAACTCTATGACTTAGTTTCATAAAACAATAATTACAATATCAATACTATTTTTATTGAATATTATTAATAAGTTTTATGAGGAAATATTTAATTAAAAACTAGTAGTACTTCGTATTGAAGTAATTTAAAAAAATTATTTTTTTTAGATTCAAATTGCCTTCAGTATCGCATTTTTAATAAAAATGGCAATATTTCTATTCACTTTATTTAGTTGTAAATTGAATTTGGGCTGAGCTTTTTTAAATATTTAATACTAATCTAATGAAGAAAGTTTTGTAGAAATTTATGCGAAGATCTCTGGCTCCATACCAAGTTGTTCCAAAAAAATTCCCATCGGCGTTCGTCTCAATCCTATACCTTCTATTTTATTAGCAATTTTGTTTTGTAGATTTCTTAATCTCAGTGATGCGTGGATGAATATAACTGAAATATAAATATGGAGTAAATCAAAAAAAATATAATTATGATATAAATGGTAAAATATTGGTGAATTAAACTCACCACAAAAAGGAAGTAAAATAGCAACGAGACAGATAAGAAGAGAACCTAGGGTGTATGTAACAAAACAACCACCCAGAATGATAACAATTATTCCAGCAATTGGATTTTGTTTTCTGAAATTGTGTATGGCTCGTCCTTCGGTTGAGACATATGCAAAGATTGCAATAACAGTACCAATAGCTACCATGCCAACTAGCATCTTACCCGGATGAAAAAGTCTATTGAAAATAATTGTATAAAAATGAGGTCAAATTTAATTTGGAAAATAACTTTAATATAAATACAATAGAGTAAACCAACGAACTTACCCAACAATAAGAAACAGTATCAAAGACAGGAAGATGTAATTGGTTTGATAATACAAAAGATTTTGTACAATTCGACTTCCCCATTTATCAAGATCTCCACTGGGGATTTGAAATCGTGCAGATTCTAATAAAAAATCATTTAAACTGCGTAATGGTGGTAATTTAACACCAGTTCCACCGATTTTTGTTTTATCCATCGTACTTTGCTTATTGAAAAATTTTTTCAAGTGATCACAGATGGTTACAGATTGATTACTGATGATTCTTTAGAATTAATTATAGAATGTGACGTTTTTTTTACTGATGATTAAGGAACACGTAAGAAAAAACAACTTAAATACACATATTCTTTATTTATGTGTGTATATTGACCGATTGAATCATAACTAAAAATTTTATTACACCTGAGAAGTCAAGTTTTGAATTAGGAATATCGAATTATCAAACAAGATTTGTTTTTAATTGTTTTCAAGAAATAAGTACAACAATAAGTGACCAGAACAGCTACTGATTGACGACTCAGAATAGTCTTATGATAAAGAGCAGAATCAATAAAGTAGAAAATGTTCTAACATTAAGATTGTCAACATTGTTAAGTGGCAAGGTATTATAAAAAAATAGAAGTACATTAATTTATCATTGAGATATTAATATCTTGAAGTTCAGAGTGATTCATGGTAGATTATTTATTAATAAAAAATTAATACCAGAGAAAAATATTTAGAAAATGTAAACAAATTAATTCTTATTATTACGACACTGTTAAACCGTGGGTGAATATCGAACGTTACGATACTGTGAAATGTTCGCGGGCGTTATTTGAATTGAATCAAAAAATTCTATTGAACAAGATTTTTATTGAAGGTTTTTTTTATTTTTTAATTAAAATTTTTTTAAATAATTTTTTTCTTTTTCTTTTTAATACAATAATATATATTTTTTGTACTTTTAATAAATTGAATGTTTTTTGAATTCAAGAATGAGATTTTTACGCCATCTGCAATTAAATGTGTAAACTAAAAATGACAACATAGTGTATCCCCCTTCTTGTTGATCGATTATGTCTTGCCGCCAATATTTGTTTGTATTCATTCATAATGAATCCATTTTGTTTTTATATTTTTTTTATTTATTGTAAAATTATCTATTCGATGTTATAAATACATAGAAAATTTATTACCTATTGATTATTTATTTAAAGTGTTTCAACATTTTCACCATGGCAAGATTTGCTATTGAACAAGACCTCAATGGCATCACCAAAAATGCAGTTTTTCCCACACATGTAATTATCAATCTAATGTTTTTTTTCATTTGTTTACATATACAACATCGTGTAATTTAAATTGTTATTTTCTTTCAAAATTGTTTTAATAGATAAATGAATTCAATTATCGACCAAGAACTCTTGTTGATGAAACGTTAGAAACTATAGACCCAACTCCTGATGTGCATGGTATGTTTGTGCAGTTTAATAAATTATTTTTCTGGGAAACTTTGAATACTGTTTATGTAAAATGGAGTACTCGTATGACCACGTAAGTTCATGTTAAAGTTGTTTATAATCTTATAACGTCAATTTACAAAAACCTCTCATTCATTTATTTTATTGTTCAAAATTTAATGCGAAGAGGTTAAAACATAGTTTAAAATTTTTTATTAAATACTTAGTTGTATCTTGACACATTTATTGCTTTTAAATATTTTAAAATACTAATATAAATATTATGCGTTAAAAAAAATTATTCTAATGGTTAGATAAGTAACAACATATATTTTTTTATAGGTGTGCTGGAACGTGTACTTTCAAACCAAGAAACCATGAATGTGTTATAGCTTTGAGTGCTCCTTTGCTTAAATTAAGGCCCAGGAAAGATTTAGTAGAAACTTTACTGGTATATATAACGAATAAACATTTATTTCATTCATACGTTATTCATACGTTAATGCGAAAATTGTTATTACGGTTGTTAATACGAACAGTATTTATTGATTCCTATTTTATTACTAATTAAAACAGTTCATCTTTCTTTTTTAACAGCATGAAATGATCCATGCCTATTTATTCGTAACAAATAATAATCGAGATCGAGATGGTCATGGGCCTGAGTTTTGTAAGCATATGAATAGAATTAATCAAAGTGCAGGAACAAAAATTACGGTAATTTCTTTTATTTATACTTTAATGACAATTTTTAATAAATTGATAATGATATTTCTTTTAGATTTATCATAGTTTTCATGATGAAGTACGATTGTATCAGCAACATTGGTGGAAATGCGATGGTCCTTGTAAAAACAAACCTCCATACTTTGGAACAGTTCGTCGGGCTATGAATCGAGCTCCTGGACCTACAGATTTCTGGTGGTCTGAGCATCAAGCAAACTGTGGTGGTAAATTTATTAAAATTCGTGAACCTGAGAAGCCAAAAGCTCGTTCTAAGTCTACTTCAAACTCGAAAACTAATTCACCGAGTAATACAAATATTCCAAAGTCAAAACAAACTCCCAAACGATTGCCAAATCAAAATACTCTGGATGGTTTTATAACATCTAGTAAAGCAAACTCTCCTTTTATTCCAGTAGTTCCTTTTAAGCCAATTGACGTCAATAGAATAAATAGTATTAAAACTCCCGTTCAAGTTAATTCATTTGAAGGTTTAAAAAAACTAGGCAATTCAACTAATAACGTCTATGGTTTTGGAACTGGAGGACCAGGATCTACTAGTTCTCAACCGACAACTAACAAACCTTCATCAAAACGCTCAAGTTCTTTAGTAAATTTTACAGCTACTGTAGGCGGAAATAACTTAGGTAAAAGTAGACTATTAGATTTATACATCTTCTACATCATCTAAGAAAGAAGTACCCGTCAGTGTCAATACTAATAATACTAATTCAACTAAATGTCCTATTTGTAATGAATTAGTTACAGAAGATATTAACAACCATATAGATAGGTGCTTAAGTAGAGAAACTCCTCTAAAACGTCAAAAAATAGAAATTACAAGTGAATCTAATCACGAATGTCCAATATGTGGTGAAAAGTTTCCACAAGACCAAATAAATATTCATATAGATCTCTGTTTACCTGATGAAAATAATAAATCTCTTAGTTTAAAAGATTCTACAACAATAATGGAAAGTACACGAAGAGAATCAGTGAATCCTCATCGTAAACCAACTTTGCCACGGTGTCCAATATGTAACGAAGTTTTTAATGAAGATGTTATTAATGATCATGTAGATATTTGTTTATTCGAAAGAGCTACTGGTGAAAATTTACGAAGTCAAATCACAAACACTACTAGTCAATCTGATCTTCCATCATCTGCTGGCAGAGCTCAATCATTGGAGACTATTGATTTAACTGACTCTTCTACACCTAGTAGTTCACATATGAATTGTTATACTTGTAATAAAAATATTGATGCTCTTGATTATTATTCCCACGTTCAAGAATGTTTAGCGAAGCTACAATGTAAAAAAACTCAATCTGATGAAATAATTGAGATAGATGATAATGCTTCAGACAGAAGTGAACGAAGTGGTGGTTCCTCATCACTATATAAATGCCTTGTTTGTAATGAGATGATTAGCAAAAATATCCCTTTGGAAGAACATCTCGAATCTTGTGTACAAGTTCCTTATAGTTGTAGTTCTAGTGATTCATTGGAAGAAGTTGATGAGGATTGTGAGTTTGTAGATAATACAATTCAATCACCAAATAGTTCTGATAAAAAGCAACTTTGTCCAATTTGTATGGAATTGTTTTCGGAGAGGTTAATTGTCAGTCATGTTGATCAATGCGTCAATTTTAAAATTTAAATAATATATTTTTCCTTCAACGGAAAGAAATCTTACAAAAATTTTCTTCTAATTATTGAAATTTTTTGTTCTAAGATTTATTATAGTAATATCAGTAAAATTTAAAGTAATAATTTCTACAAAAGTGATAATAATTATGATAGTATAATCGGTATTAATAATAATAGTTATATCTAAAATAAATCTTACATCTATTTAATAAATATTTTTTCTAAAACTATACTTTTTTATCGTATAATCCTGCTACATTGAAATATCGAGCAGTACAAACACCACATGTGAATTCTTGAATATAATTTGGGAAGAAAATTAATATTTGTTCTTTAGTAAAATGTATGAATGGGATGTTGTTATTCAGTAAGATGTGAATTGAATTTTTGTCCGATCTAAACCTGTAAAATTAGAGAAGATTGTGAAAAAAGAGTTTTTATTTTTTTTACGATTCATGTTATAAAAAAATTTTTTTTCTAAGTTATACTTTAATAAAATGATTAATTTATTTTTCGAAAAATAGTTTTGTTTTGAAATAAATTAGTTTACCTTTTTTCGTTGACTTTATTCCACGAGAAATCTCTTGTGATAGGTAAGGGATCAGTGAAGTTATATACAGTTCCTCCTTCATCATCTGGCACTATTTTTAGATAATTACTATCGTCACTAAGATGTAACGTAACTCCAGCTTCAGTGCTAACGGCTGTTAAAACAAATCCTGGATTTTCGTCGTAACATTGACCTAGAACCAATACTTCTCTATTTCTTTCTAGTGGACGAGTTATATTGTGAGCTGATTTTATCATTGTAGGAGTAATTACACAAAAGCCTAAAATTATGATTTAAATTAATTAATTAATTAATGATAATATAGTAATATATTAAATATGAGAAATATCAAAATTATTACTGAAAAATGTTCGTAGAAAAGCATTGTCGATATATCTATGTAACCGAGTTCTTGTTAAAAACATATCCACAAATTCTCCATCGTATTTAATTGGTATCTTGTTATGATTCACATACATAACGGCTTTGGTACTATCTTCCGGAAATGTTACTCCAATCAAATATCGATCAATATTTGATAAATGACTACTGTTTCCTCCTATGACATCATATAAAGCTCGTAATTTCCAAATCAATTGTTCCAATTTTTCTGGCAACTAAAATCAATTGATTTTCATTAGTATTTTTTTGATACAATATGTTCTGACTTTTCTTATGATATTAAAAATAAAACAATACTAAAAAATTTGTTATTTCTTACATTTTCAGACTCGACAAATATTTCGTACTTTCTTAGGGTGGAGAGTTCTCGAGATGCTTGATAACAAGCCTCAGTATAAGGCACATCAGTTTTTCCTTTAGCTTGTCGTCGGCATTCATTATAAGGCCATTTATCCATCTTACTTTGGTTTATCTGTTCTTTGCTTACTTCTCCAACCATATTTAAAAGAAGTGATGATCCTGAACACTTGCCTTTTAGACTGTCTGATAATCCCCACACTAGACTCAGCTTTATTGATGCTGGATCACTGGGTTTTAAACTAAAATAGTCCCAAGTCCATGGTGTTATTCGATCTATCTCTAAACATACCTTTGAATGGAAAATGATTGTTAAGTTTAATTTTATTACTGACATTTAGTTAAGAAATCTTCAATCTTATTTTTTGAATATAAAAGTTACCTTCATAAATTGTTCACCAGGTACAGATTTACTGGCCTTTATCTTTAACGTATCTGTTACCCACGAAGTTGATTCATACAAAGCAGCTAAATTCCATTGTTGTAAAACTTTCATGTCTCCTAATTCACTTCGTGTGAGTGACAGCAGATAATATTTACCATTTATAGCAAACTCTAATTTTACCTGTAATATTATTTATCGTTTAATGAAAATAAATTTTTTCTTTGAATTAAGTTGAAAATTATATTAATAAACTCAGTACCTCAGAAGGTTGAATAGTTGATGGTTCGATGTACATGGCAACTCCGCAGCTTCCTCTTGGGGGTGCATAGCTGAAGTAGTCCATAGCATGGAATCCTAATAGAAGTAATTTCGCTCCAAACCAAGTTCTAATAAAAAAAAATTTTTTAAATAAATATTTACTTTATTATAAAATTTATTCAATTAATGAATAAACTTACTCATAGTTGCTTTGGTGAGATAACCAGATATCAGTAAATAATTCATCTCTGGCAATTTCCGGATCACAATCGAAAACTCTTACTTGGAATTGGCCACCCAATTCGGGTAATACAGAATCAAAAATTACAGTATCCTAGAAAAAATAATATAATAGCACACTTGTGTCAAAAAATTTTTCCCACCCAAAAATTACCTGCAATGCATCTTGAGGCTTTTTTTTAACTGTATATGATCCAATACAGTTTTTACATATTTTTTTCAATTTTGCAGTAGCATTTATACCTCTAATCGTTGTAGTTGTCATTGCGTGGGCAATAATACCAGTTTTTAAATCTTCTACAAGTCAATAATTATTATTTGATCAATTTTTTTTCTTCAATATATATTTTTAACTAATTATAAACAGAATGATTAATTAAAAAATCAAATTTACCAGAAGGCGTAATATACGATAGGAATAATTTTTCTTGAAGGCCAACTGTCACATTTGTTGGGAGATATCCGTGAATTGATTGAGTTCTCTCAGCAGAATGCCAAACATCAATCAGTGGATTATAATTTTCAACAATTTCGGATCCGTGAATAGCTGTGCTGCAGAAAGAATAAATTAATTATCATTGCCAAGTTATTGAGAGACAATGAATAATTAAATATTATACCGTAATATGACATGATTGTTTCGACCACCAAAAAGATATGTGAAATTTCCTCTCATTGAAAAAAGAGAATTAGCTGTAGCTGCAAGTCTTACATTTGTTCCTAGATCAGTTACTTGAATTGATTCCATTGTTAGTGGTATATTAATTCGTTGTTGATTTATATGAAACTCCATGCTTTGATAGATTTGAAAACTATTCTCTGGAAGTGCTCGTAAATCTAATTAAAAATAACAAAAATTCAATAAACATTAAAATAAATAAATTTTAAATTACTTATTTTAATCAGTCTTACATGAAAGTGCATTTTCAATGTTTGTTTTATTAAAATGCAAACAAAAAACAGCTTTTTGTTGAATTCGAGCGATTATTTCAATATGAGGTGGTTCTGATGGTTTTTCTTCAAGCTTAAATTCTTTAAGAATATCTTTGATGCGAACAAAGTTTTCTATATAATTGGATAATGTTGGCATAACTCCAACTGCTTTAATGTGTAGCTAAAAATTTCAATCATTAAATGAGTTGTAGAATATTTAAGTTTGACGACTATAAATAATTTTAGACACCTAAATCAGAATTCTTACAGAAATTTGGTTGAAATGAGTTCCAGACCCATGATTGTTAAGTGTAATATGAGCAATTTCAGGAATGTTAGAACGTGGGCTAGCAATGATAATATTCTGCACCATAGCACCGAAATTTCTTTTGGTATCTTGATAGTCAAAAATATAATTTCCAGTCATTATGCGTTCATCAGTATGAGGTTTTGTTAAAATTCTAGCAAATTGTGCTGCAATAGCTCCACTGAAAAGTTTTTTAAAAAATTGTAATAACAATAAATAATTATTTAATACAATATATGAAGTTATTAAATTAGCCTTACATGTGTTTGTAGCAAGGGTAATTCGTTCTTTCCATCGATTTTAGAGTTGTATAAAAATAATTGACCAAATGTTGATTAGTTTCACCTCGCATGTACCAATAAAGCGCAAATATTCGATTTGATGATGGATTAGAAGCAATTAAAAGAGTTAAAGCTGCTATCCTCATCTCTAAATACTCTGTTTGATTAACAAGAATTGGCCAATAAGCTCTGTAAATCTAAAACAAACATCAGTCATTTGAATAGTTGAAAAACTTCGATGTTGATTCGTTTTTTTTACCACGTAAAACTTACAATGTCAGGTCTAGAATAAGCTGTAGGAAGCGAGGCCCACGCAGCCAAAACTCTTAGATGTTTAGAATTTTCACTAATTCCACTAGCAATCGGTTCCAAAAATTCAACAACTCTTCCAAGCTGTATATTAGATAATCCTTCTAACCATATCATTTTCATTTCATAGGTATCGCTCTCTGTAAATCTATCTAAATAAATTCTCACAAAATCGTCTAGAACTTCATACGAACAATGAACCAAACAGGTTTTGTAAATTAAAGTCCCAAAAGTTAAAATTCCTGTGTTCCGAACTCCTGATGATATTTTTTCTGGAAGATCAATCAAAACTTTTGTTTGATCCAATAACTGAACATCAGGTTTTCTGATATGAAATGGTAACTGAGTAAGTAGTTGCATCGCTGTGATGTCTGATACTTTTTTTTGGACAATTAAATCCAAAACAAATAACACTGAGTGCCTTGTACCAACTTGTGGAACTGTTTCAAGAAACATGTTTCTGAAATAAATTAATATAAACTACTTTTTTCCAGATAAGCTCATTGACGTAAGCTGGTTTTAACTGAAAATATAAATATTACCTGATCGTTTCTTCTTTATAGCTTGTTCCTGAAATATTGTTGTAAGCTGCTTCTAAATCAGTTTGATTAAATTTACCAAGATAATATAATAATATTGAAATAGTTGTATTATGTAAATTATTTATCTCAGTATCCAATCCAGGATTTTCTAATCTTTGACTTAATCGATCCAACAATACAGATATCTGTAATAATTATCATCATCTTATGGTGTAAATAAATCTCTTTTTCAATTAAGTAATTTTTTTTTATTGATTTTTAGATTTTTCCAATACTTACTGATTTAAAAATATGCTCCTTCTCATATGCAACTCTTTCTGGTGATAATTCGTCCTCCGGAAGCTCATACTGTAGATTAACTTCATGGAATTTATCTTCTGGTATGTATTCATGTTTATCTTTCACGTCAATCAGTCCAAAAATTTGTCGAGTGAACAAAAATTGAGCTTCACTAGTGCTTCGAAATGGTTGAACATAAATCCCACCAGTAGCGTTGATAAAAACTATTTCTGTATCATTTCCGTCTAATTTTAATTTATATAATTTTTCGCTTGATTTGATAATTGGATTCTGAAATGATGCAATGAAATTCATAAAAAAATTTTAATCATCAAAATTATCCTAAAATATTTATTTTATAAATATAATTGGATTTACTTCATCTCCAGTTGGGCATTGCATTCGAGGGACATTGGTCCAGGTCCATTGGGGATGTCCAATGCATGTACGGGGATCAAAAAATTTTCGAATCCACATCTCATCATCTGTTTGTGATGTAACAATGTTTTCAATGTTGCAACGGCCATAATGAGTATTCTAAAATAAATTAATAATCATATAATCTAAACTATATTCAAATAACAAAGTGGAAGTAGAAATCAATTATAAAAATGATAAATAAATTTAATTTACCTCTTCTGAATGAAAAGCAACTTCCTTTTCTAAATTGTTTAAATCAAGTTGAAAAATACTAGCGATACTTCGTTTAATATTAGTAACCCAAATAGCTTCAGTTTCAACGCTAAAATTGGTGAGAAGTCCATTTTTGTAGACTACTTGAAAGGCTTTTAAAAGTTCTGGAACTTGATCTTTGACCTCAAAGTCTAGGGAATCAAAAACTGACCGCTGATTAAATTCTCCATTCCATATAAACGTTTCTAAATCGTTTAACTAGAAAATTAATTATTTTTCATTAATTTCTAAATTCTAATTATATTTCTATATTTTAAAGATTCATTTAATTAGTTAAATAGTTGATTGAAACAAATATTCACATACCCGTATGTAAGCAGCATCTTCAGTCGTCTGAACAATAAGTGTTCCCTGTAACCCCCATGAAGAAGCAGCTTTGGATGGTAACAAAACTCCCGAACTTGATTCCGCAAAGTATGAATACGTATATTGCTTCCCTGGTTTGAAAATATTTTCACCGGACGTTACAAATAAAAGATTTAAAATGACAACTAATATTGTTTTACACCAACACACTGGAAATAATTTGGCCCACACTATGTCTGAAATGAATAGCAAAATGTTTAATAAGTTTTATTAGTGTGAAAATAAAAAAATATGAAGATTAATGAGGAAGAAATGAGTATAATATTAAACTAATAAAGTCAATAAGTAAAGAAAAAAATAAAATAGATAAAGAAAATATTTTTAACAAATTTATTTAAATTATTTTCTTAATAATAGTTTCAATAATTGATAAAAAAAAAAAATAGTTCACAAACAATAATCATTGATGTTAATTGATAAAAAATGCTCTAACGTACCTGAAGTGCTCATTGTGTAGGTCCGCCGAAAGACTGACGTAGACTGAGTTCATAAAAGTCAAGAGATGACCTGTACTGTATCCTATCTCAGCAACTTACGACGATGTAAGCGTTTATTAGTGTTAGTTTAAATTATCCCATCGACAGATTATCTTCAATCTCATCATGTCCTCTTTACATACCGTATCAATCCATATACATATATGAGTCAAAAGCAAAAAATGCCCATTTTAAACCATAAAAAAGGGACATCTGTCCTGCAGAGACAGGGATTCAAATGGAAATTCTTCGAAGATATTTTTATTTTTAGAAACCTAACATTTTTTATCTTTCGTTCATAAGAAGTATATAACATACAGGACACTGTTATATTATGGTAGAAAAATGTTTTACTGATAAATTGATCTTTGGCCTCTTTTATATTTAGAACTACTATTTACGTTGATGATAAATTTCTTCCACAAATTCATGGTCCCCTTGTGAGTAATGAAGAGATAGAGAAGAAAAGAAGCAGGCTGTATCGTTCAATGAAGTCTATTGATTTATTTTTAAGAATTATTATTTACAAATAATTATTATTAATCACAAATTTATTTATCAACTCAATTGTATTACATTAAATTAAAATTTTTACTTATTACTTCATTATTTTTAACATCTGTACAAAGAACTAACTAATATTCTTTCTTTTTTACTTAAACTATTTTTTTAATTTCATGATTATATTTTTTATTACTATTTTATTATTTTTTTTATTGAATAAACTTAATAATAACTATAAATTACTTATAGTGGTTTTATTGTTTTTAAAATCGATCTGGAATATTCCCACGCTTCACTAAAAATAAAATGATCAAATAATTAAAATTTATTTTTTCAATTAATTAAGGATAAATAAATATTATATTATCTGTATTTAATTACTTATGAGCTGGATTAGCCTGATCTAATTGGTCGCTGAGCTGCTGAATAAGGGTTGCAAACATTCTTAAGTGTTCTATTGTACCTCCTTGAAGCCATGCACGAGGTAAAGTACTCATTATCTAAAAAGAAATATTATTGTTTTTTTTTATAAGTCTTAATTAGTAATTAAATTTAATAAATAATGATAAAAACATACGACATTGGCCTTGCTTAAAGCATCTATTGGAGGTGATACTCTCAAGCCTGCCAGTAGATAACGATTAAGAAGAGAACTAAGGGCTAGATTTTTCAATTGTGCATCTCCAAGTAAACCCTGCCAACTCAGTAAATTTCGAAGTAGTTTTACAGCCATTGTAAATTGTCTTTGAAAGAATATATGTTTTGGATCTAAAATTCTGTAATAAAAAAATAAAAAATGGATTCTTGTTTGATATGATTTTAATTTTGATTTCAACAGAAAACTAAACTTACTGTTTAGGAAAAATGGGTATGAACACATCATTCTCAACGGCAGATTTAATTTTATCTAGAATGGCATTAAAAAGTGACTGTAATGGTTTACTAGTTTCATTAAGATTTGGATAATCCATCACTAGTCGACGGACAGTTCCAACAAGTCTTAGTGTTTGAGATGTAGACATTGGATCCCATATTTTTTCAACGATTACTGTAAAAAAATTATATCAAAATAAAAATAAATTATTTCTTTATCAGACCTTCATCTAAAACAGAGGTGGGCAAACTTTGACGTTCACAGAACACCAGTAAAAAGGTCTACTTAGTATAATCCTATGCTTCTCTCATTCTTACTCATAAGAACAATAAAGCTCTAAAAATTATACCTAAAAAGCTACTTTGGTTCTGATGAGACGCTCTTGCCCATCTCTGATCTAAAGCAATCAGTTACTTACAGGTAAGTTTAGGAATGACAACTTTTTCCATGGCTAAAGGTATTAATCTAACATCTGGATCACTTTTGAGCGATTCTTCACTTTCTTTTTGATCTAATGCATATAGTAATAATGAATTATACCATTTAGTACGTTCTAAATCAGTACTTTCCTGTAAAAATTTTTTAATTAAATACTAATTAATTAGTTAAGAATTATACGGAGTGATAAATTTACAACAGAAAATTATGATAATAATCACCATTAAAGGATTCCACGTAATGAGGTGTAATCGTACGATAGGAGAAATAATTTTTGGGATACATAAAGAAACGTAGGCCTCTGTATAAGCTTCCATGTCAGTTTCTCTCCATGATTCAAGTTTTGATAAAATTCCTCTGATTGTACAAAAATCATCCATAACATCAGAAAAGACTTCTTTACTTTCGTCGTCAATTTCCTCTGGAAAATTTAAAAAATTTGTAAATTTAAAAAATTAAAACGAACAATAAAAGTTCAAAATGTAAAAAATCTATTTATAAAATAAATAATCAACCTTTCGCCTGTTTGAAGGCAAGATTTTGTTGCTCTGTTACTTCATCATCACTAGACATGCCGTCGATATGTTTTGGAATATTAGAAATAAGTTCACGAGCTCTTCTACGCCTTGCTCTTCTTCCTTCTCGTTCAGTTGCTCGACGAACTCGAGCATCATCTTCTGGTCCTCTACGTGCTGTTTGTCCTCCTGTTTACAGAAAGAATCTTAAATTTAAATCTCGATCAATTAAGTTATTAGTTGAATAATTGTTCAAAGTCTTATGCATAAACCTTTCATAAAAATTTAATTAATGTTAATAGAAGCAAGAATTCGTGCTGAACAAAGAAATAGTGTTGGATTAAAGTAAAGAAATAACTGACTGGCTGCAGAAGAGATTTCTTCAGCTTGATCTCGAGTATCCTGACGTCGTCGCTCCATAAGTTCTGATGCTCTTTCTCCATATAAATCAAGCCATCGTTTCTCCAATCCAATAACCATTGGCAGCTAACAAAAAAAAAATTATTTGTTAAAATTTTGAAATATTTTTAGATTGATAGACTATGGAAGTCAACCATTCTCCAAGACAAAAATCAAATTATTAATATAATTAGTAAAAATAAATACAGTACTATTTATCATTTATGCAGCTAAATAAATTAAATTGGAGCGATAGTTAAATTCCAAAGTCACAGAATAACCAAAAGGAAATTTAATTTGGGCTTTGTTTCGCAACCAATAGCGATACTCACCCACATTAAATGGTATATCAATTATAAATTGTTAATAAATATTGAGATATCAGCGTAAATTAATACAGAGAAGATCCAGACCCCCGGCAATAAAAAAATTCATCTTTGGAAGCAAACTAATGCTTTTAAAAAAGTTGTTTACAAAATCAAATATATCAATAAAAAATTTAAATTTCGTCACAATAAATTACGCGTGATGAACCCGAGCCGAAAGAAAGTAAAAATCAAATATCGTGAAAACCCACCTTCTCATCAAGACACTCTACCAAGTCAGTGACATACCCACGTAACTCTTGGTAATATCTGAAGCGCTGAGCTAGTTGAGGTGCACGCAATCCTCCTTCATCCAATTCTTTCAATGTCTGCTTTAGCTCATCTTCCAATTGAACGTGATCCTGTTGGTACTTTCGATGGACCTGAATTAAACTCGATACTCTACAATAAAAAATATTTAAATAAAATTGATTATTTATAATTATTACAGCCTAAATTTTACGAATATTTGAATTTTTCTACAATATGTGTACAAGTAATCATACCGATTACATGATTAGGTAATACATCTATGGATAATCAAATTTAATAAGTGGTTATAGTATAAATACAACCTTGTACGCATTTTTTCAATTATTTCTTGAGGCGATATCGCCACTATTTTAGTTGGATCTGGAGGTTGAATACAGGGTGGTGGTGGTGGAGCTGGCATTAATACCATTTCTAAAGGTACTCCTGTGCCTCCAACTAATTGCCCGCTATTCATGCCCATTGTGTACTGTTGTTGCATAATTGAATCTTGCTGTGCGGCTGCAATCTAAAATATTAATGTTAATTATTATCTGAAACTTATACATTATAACATTGATAATTACTTGAGCGCCAGTCACTCCTTTTCGAATTTGCTGTGCCTCCCACTCTTCTTCTTCATTACCGTGTTCGCTCTCGTCATCAGACACTGCAAGATTTATAGAATTTTTTAATCTATATTCTAAGCTGTAATTAAAAACGTTTAAAGACGAACGTTTTATTGGAACTTGTGATGCTAGAAAGGCTTCTCTTCTTTTCTCCTTATCACGAGCTTCTGTATTAATAGACATATCTATTCTGTCTTGGGATTCATCATCATCACTACGATCATGATCATCTTCACGAATTAATCTTGACTTTCCTTTATCCTCACTAAAATTTGTAAAACAATAATTATTAATTAATAAAATTAAAGCATGTTGAGTAGGATAAATAAAATAAGAATGAATTATCTATCAATTACGTTATTTCTTCAATAGGTATGAAATCAGTGCCCAATTCTCTTGCTTTTTGTCTTTTCTTTCTTGCTGCATGAATCATTGCAGCATCAGGAATACAACCACCTAAAAATGATATGTATTAAGTAAAGTAATAAATAAAGAAATTAATTGATACTCGGAAAAATGGGTAATTCAATCGAATAATCAGATCTTGATTTACAATTATTCAACCGAAATAATCAAATAACGTTTTGCTATATATTAGATTAAAAAAAAATTAATCAATCTATTTACTTTCTAAAAAGAGTTTCATAGGATCAGCTTTTGATGAAGTTTTTCTAAATGAATGACTCGTAGATTCTTCTTCATCGGAAGAATAATCATCTTTGCCAGCAACTAATGCAGCACGTCCATTCAAAATAAGTGGTCCAGTATTTTTTATCTTAACCTAGATAAAAGAAAAAAACATGTATGTTAGTATAATAAATAATTGATACGATGAACCACTAAAACAAAAATAAAATGGTCTCTCATATGTAATGATTGGGCGATATTTAATTTCTGATATTTGTTAATCAGCCGCAATTCATTAAAATAGAGACAAGTGATTAAATGATATATGTTTTAACATATTCAAGTGATATTAACTATTAAAGACTAATAAGACATCATAGAGATAGCTTACTACTAGATCATCTGTCTTTATTTCTAAATCTTTGTCGCGCTTAATCGACATGTTCGCTTGCTCAGAGTCCACTTGCATTTTCTCTTCACCTTTCTTTTTTCTCCTTTCGTGATCAAGTTGTTTCATCAGTTTTTTGCTCCTCGATGACTTCCGCACCTTAAAAACCTCCCCATCGTCAGCTATAAACATAATAAATATTAAAAATTGATTCAAAATTATTTAGTATAAATATATAAGAGAATGTTCATGAGTTCCATAACTTTACCCTACTCAGACAATTAGATGCCTCATAAAAAATTATGTTGTAAATTAAAGATAGTTATTCTTACTTTTAGAAAATTTTTTTATAATAAGAAAAACTTTTATCAAACTAACCTTCATCTAGCTCCTCTCCAAAACTCAGGAGCGTTTGTTTGGGCTTCTCTTTTTTCCTCGGTCTTGCTTTAATAGTCTGGACATCTTCAGGTTCCACTCTATTTTCATTGTCCTCACATTCCTCATTGAATGACCGTCGGCGTATATTTCTCTTCGGTTTATTAAATAGTGACATTGTTTTCCTTTGATATCTGCAAAATTACAAACCAGAGTGAAGACATTACCTCATACTGAAGTACTGCATGCAGCTCATGGCATATTATTTTAACTTACTGAATTACTGAATTTAAAATCTATTAATACTGTGTAGTTCTAAAAAAATTAATAGAAAATTTATATGATTAACACAATTATATCTTAATTATAATAATGATTTTCTAAACATTTTTTTCTATAACGTCGGTTTTTAATTTCTGTACTCTATGCAATTTTGGAAGCAACTTAGCTCCTAAATCAGTATGCATTCCATAATTGCATTAGTAATTATTCACTTGCATCATAGATGCCTCTATGTGTATAATTCTACATTATCGATCTTGCGAAAAGTATTCTAAATGACAATCAGATGGAGTTGTCAGTCAATTCCAAAAACAGACATCAATGAAGGTTATGTAAAATTTGTGGTACTATTTTTATAAATTAAAAATAAAAATAATTGTATTCACATAAAATGTCAATGTACTATGATATTAATGAAATATCCGTTGAAAATAATAATTAATAATTCCTAAGTAATTGTCAATTATGAAATAATATGATAATCAATAAATTATTATCAAGAATAGATCAAGAAATAGTAATCAGTAAGTATTACATCAAGCAGTGAAATATAAAAATTATAATTTGAATAAAATACATAAAATAGCATTTTAATCTTATCTTTATTGTTGTAGTCTTCTGCATATAAGCTTTGAGCATACACAAATTTCAATTATAAAAAATGGAACTCTATAAAAATATTTTTATAAAGCGTAATTTGTATACATGTACAGTATTGAATAAAGAAGCATTAAAAAGTTCAAAATCTAGATCAGCGAGCTCTCACAGATGGTTAACGCGTCAGCTGAAAGATCCTTACGTAGAAAAAGCAAGACAAGAAAATTACCGATGCAGAAGTGCATTTAAACTTCTAGAAATCAATAAGCGATTTAACATTCTTACTCCAGGTCTAGTTGTTGTAGATTGTGGTGCAGCTCCTGGAAGTTGGACTCAAGTGGCTTTGAAACTAACGAATGCCATTGGAAAAGATGAAGATAAAGCAGTAGGACGTGTTTTCGCTATTGATAGACTTCCAATTCATCCAATTGATGGTGCCACAATTCTTGGAAATGCAGATTTTACTCTACCAAACACCCAAAGTACTTTGAAACAATTATTAAATGGACAACCAGTGGATGTTGTTCTTTCTGACATGGCACCTAATGCTACTGGTGTTCGCCAACTTGATCATGATAAAATAATGTATCTTGCATATTCTGCTATGAAGTTTGCAGTGGAAATGTCGAAAGTGGGTGGTACGTTTGTTACAAAAGTTTGGGATGGTCAACAAACTTCTGAATTTGAAAAAGATGTCGAGAAATTTTATAAATCTATAAAAATTATTAGACCTCCTGCCACAAGAGATGAGTCTGCAGAAATGTTTATTTTAGCACAAGGATTTAAAGGTTTGAAACAATTAAAAACCTGATATGTATGAAAAATCTACAATATTATTGTAGAAATTACGAATTAATAATAAAGATATTAATAAGAATGGGAAAAATATGTTTAGTTATTATGTCCTATTGAATAATTTTTTCTTTATTCAATGTTACTAAGTGTTTAAATGTTAATAAAATAGATTAAAGGAAAAAAACCATTTCCAATTGCTAAGTGTTGAAATGTCATCATGTTAATACATGCACGGTTATACGTTTTAATTCTCAAAGATGATGTCTTATTAAAGATCAAGGATTGAAGATTGATATAAGATGCATATCTTTTAATAGATGAACACTACAAAATTAAATGTTAAAAACAATCAACATCTACACATGTGTTTTCCTTGTGTTATTTTTCATTTAATAGTTATATAAATAATACATAAATGCTTGATAGATATATGATTGCACAAATTTATTAATTAAATGTTTACATTTTTAACATTTGATATTATGACAGTAGAACATTATCACTATTATGACATATTATTAACTATGGTATATACAATTCTTTCCATTCATGACAATAAATGAATGAGATATGTACACAAAGTCACATGAAAACTACGATAATTTTAAAATTTATGGTCAAATATCAAAAAATGTGACGAAATAAACAAAGATTAAAATGTTTACTCATCAATGAAGTAATCATGGATAATTTTTATCAATAATAATAATAGGATAAATGGTAACAGTTACTGGCCGCAATTAAAAAATACTTAATTTTTTTTTTCTTTCATTTTTAAAAGCAGTTTAAATACTAAAAAAAAAATTTGGTTGCACAGTTGCTTGAAGTAAAATCTAAAGGCGCATATAAATTAATAATAGATTAAATGCAAATTTTATTAAAATATTTTTCAAATTTTACAATTGCATAAATTAATAATTAAATATTAAATAAATTACTTATATTTAATTTGAATATTTGATTTATTTATTATACTTGATATTCATGCGTAGATATTTTGACATTTTATAGGTAAATTCATAGATTTGGCAATCTAATTAATCGATTTCATTATTTATTATCATTATAATTTATTAAATATGTTGTTGCATAAAATGCTGAATAGTTAATAGAAAACGGTATACAGAAATCAGTCATTTTAAAAAAAGTATGCATCGATATATATGTATATGAATGTGAGTAGGTATGCATTTTGAAAATTACTTTTACAAGCGTCTCTAAATAATTTTCATCCTGTATTTAAAATTTTTATTATAATTCATCGACACCTGTTATAAAGTCAACAGATTGAAGACGTCATTTTCACAATAATTATTTAATGTAATCCGATTAAAGAATAAAGCATTGACCAAAGATAAAAATACAAAAAATTATAATTATTTAAATGCTTCTGGATATTGTATTCTATCAAATGCTTTATCTTTTAATAGTATATACAGATTGTATAAATTAATTGAAAAAATAAAGAAATATTTAATTAAACTATACGCTGGAAATTTTCGCTAATTTAATACTAAATAATAATTATATTTACTATTTATTAATTGTATTATTCATTAATGACAGTGATAATAATTAAGAACTATCTATATAATGCTATGTTTTCTGTTTGTTTATACAGAACTAAACAAAAGGTTCTTTTTACAATATCAGTCTTCAAAGACAAGGATTCGTGCTGAGCAAACTTATTAAGTTTTTTTTTTAAAAACCTGTATTTAATATGACTACGAAAAATTTTATATATATATATTAATTAATATTTTACTATTTCATTATTGCTATGAGTATTACTGTTTGAAATTTTATTTATAATTCTGAGTTTCATTGTGTTCAAATGCAAGCGTATAAATACATAACTTTCATGGTCATATGTAATACAGGTGCTGTAATTAATAAAAAACAGTGTTTAATGAGTAATGGATGAAACTGCTATCCCAGCGTATTTTTTATAATCAAGCTTTAACAATGAACACTTGTATATTTAACTCTAAATAGATTGTTATGAAATTCAGGAATTCATTTTTTTTCAATTCATAATTTTCAATCATAAGAAATTATTTAATTTATGAATAATTTTCAATTTTAGTTATGTCTAGATAGATATACCAATTAGGGATTTGATTACTGTTAGTGATTACATTGAGTCTAATTGAACATAAACTTTCTTCATAATCACTGCATGAACAGATTTGAAATCGATATATGTTTAATCGACTTTTTTTTCTTGTTCAATGATTAAATTGTCGTATAATTATTTTCAATAATCAAAAATTTGCAAAAGTAAAAAATTTCAAACGAAAATCAGAGAAACACTTCTATTAGAGAGTATGTTCTGATGTTCAAAAAAATTTAATCATGATTTTAAACATCATCAATGATAAATAAATTTTTTCATAATTAAAGTAACATTTTGTATAAATCAAAGCCTCATTATATCGTTAACTGGTAGACTTAATTAATCATTTTTTATGTAATACAACCCTGTATTTCATAATTTTATTTTAATTTTTGATACATAATTTTTCGCAACGAAACCTTGCTAATTAAACCTAAAAATAATTATTCCTACGACATTTTTCAACGTCTAACAGGTGTACTTCGTGCATATGACCGAGTACCATTTGGTGGCGACAATTCTTTGTAATAACTTATTCTTCTTGCTGCATTAATTCTTGGATCTATTTCTAAAGAATCATTTTTATCAAGGGGATTTGATTGTTGTTGTTGTTGTTTTTGTTGTTGTTGAACAAAAGTCGGATCCTGAAAAAGAGGCATTCGAGTCCAGAATCCGAGAACGGATGACGATCGATCTTGTTTTTTTCTATCGTTTTGGTATCCTGAAACCACCCTCTGAGGTGATTGTTGTCGATTCGTTCTGTAATTTGATGCGACCGGCCAATAAGGTGGTTTCATCAACAAATGATATGCCGGTTGAGAATACTGATGTTGGTAATTTTTTTCCTTGAAATCATTTGATGTATGGATACTATTAGCTTGCTGAGAAGGAAATCTTACATAATTTGGCTGGGTTTGGGGCTGGGTAAAGGTAGGGAATTTCACATGATCTCTATTTCTTATTGGATAGAATGCTGGACTCTGATAATTTGCATAATCTTTTCTTTTCAAGTCAAAATTTTTAACTGAATCTGATTTCTGACTATTTGCTGGCTTCAGTACAAATCGATTATTATTTTGAACTGGATATCGATAATTTGAATAAGCTTGAGGACCTGCGTAATAATTATAAGCATTCATTTGTTCTACAGATGTTGAAGGAAATTTGAATGCCATTTGCTGAAGATTAAATACAGGCTTCGAAGGCTTTTGTTGAACATCAGTATCTATTGATTTTTGAGGCATAAACATTTCTGCAGTATTTGAAGAAGATGCTGTCATTGTTTCTGATGGTTTAGAGTTTAATATCTTAGAGAAAATTTCAACTTCACTAGTATTTTGAGGAGGAATTATATCTGGTGTCATTGATGATCTTATGGTGGGTGTTTTCGGCGACATACTTTCTTTTTCCATTGCTTCTTCAATACTCAGAACACCTGGACTATTATCCATTAAAGATACTTGATTTACAGTTGGTATTGGAAAAGTTGTTAATCTTCCAGTACTTTCTTCAGTAGTAGTTTCGTGCAGTGTAGTACTCCATGGTGTTGTTGCCTCAACAGTACTTAGTTTATCTTGATATTTATTGTCATCAGGATTTTTCTCCAAGTCATTTTTGTTATTTGAAATCTTTTTTTCATTGTTATTGATATTTTTATCAATATTTTTGTTATTATTATTAATATCTTTATTGATTTTATCAATATTTAAACCCACTAAAGTTGTTTCGCGGATAAAATCTTTACTAACAGTAACTTCTCCAGAAATTTTACTTTCATTTTCTTTATTTTCTACAAAAGTTGTCTTAATATGAGGAAACTTAGTGGGAGAATAAGTTACCATTGATCCTGCTTCGCTGTGTTTCAGAATTTCATCTTCATTTTCTGTCGATTCTTCGTATTCTTCTGTCTGATCTTGAAAGACGTCTTCTTTCTCTGTAGTATATCCTGTACTAGATTCTGTTGTATACTCATTACCGTCATCATAAACTTCAGTTTCAACTTCAGTAGAATTTTCTAATGATTCTGAGACATTTAGAATTAATTTTATCGGTGGTAAAGTTGTTGAAGGTTCTGTAGTTGTTAGTGGAAATTTAATTCTAATAATATCTTCATTTACTGATTCATTATTTTTCCTTTCAAAATTTATTTCAACCCTTTTTAAACTGACATTATTATTTATTTTAATATCGTCTGTTAAATTCGCTATGGAAGAATTCGTTGGAGGTAATAAAAGAAATAAAGTCGGATGAATAGAATCTCCAGATGAGTTTGATATTTGATCAGTATTATTGACTTTATTTTCGATTGTTTCTCCAATATTTTCTGTTTTATTATTATTATTATTATTATTATTATCATTTTCAGATTTATTGGAAACTTTGTCATATACCGTTTGTGATTTAAAATCGAGAATGTCAGAAAAATTCGAATCTATTTCTTCAACGAATTCCATGACAGGAATCAATTGTTCAATTCCAGTACTTTCATTTTTCACATCCTCATAAATTGTCAAAACAGCCTCTTTCTTATCATCTGGTCTCTCACTTTCTTTTTCCGTATTTTCTTCTTTAGAAAGTGAAGGTTTTTTTTCTGAGTTTTTAGTATTTTCCTTTTTTGTTGTTTCTTTGTGATCAGTATCAACAAAAAGAGGAATGTGAACTTGGAAAGGTCCTGATGATGCTGAAGATGTATCGGATTTTGGTGGTGGTGGCGGTGGTGGTGGTAGGTTTCCGAAATTAGCATACATTGCATTTAAACGTTGAAGAAGAAAATCAATGTGTGCTTCTTGGTTTATGTTTATATCTTTCACACATCTGTTCATTGCATCTGGTTGGTAACCTTCAGCACATGCTTGCAAAGGTGGTGCAATAAAAATACTTTTTGGTGTTATTCTCCGTAAAAGACTAGCGGAATCAAGATTTTCACCATTACTATTTCTCTTATCGTTATCAATAAGCAACCACGCTTGCCATGCTAATTCACTGGGATTTCCAACTCCTTCAGTTTTAAGTTGTTCTGATAAAGGTTTTCGACGATTTTCGTTTTCTACTGGTGCGCAACTGGTGATTCCAATGGAACTGAAGAAGCTTAGAAATCCGATTATAACGAACATCATGTTGAGTTGCAAATTTGTGTGTCTTTGAACAGAGCCCATTTTGAATAATTTTGTTTTCACAAACGAAGCAGTAATAGTGCTTGCTAATTTGATGATAGGCAACCTTCCTAGACAATTTAGAAGCACCATTGAGCAAGTTCCTGTAACAAAGAAAAATTAAAAAAAATATAAGTATGGAAATTAAAAGTATTGGAATGTTTTGATAATAATGAGCTATTGTTTGGATAGAGCGTAGGAAATGGAATGGATGTAGCATAAATCATTGATTATTTTTATCGATAAATTAAAATCATTAGTAATGATGACAGATGATTCATAGGTTTTTAAAGGGTGTATATATCGACATTGCTATCAACTTGTACAGGTGGCAATACTGCTATTTGGAAACACATTTATTCATTTTTATGGTTTATATCAGCGATTAAATCAAATGATGACTCAATATCATTAAAAAAAAACATATTGATAGATTGAATAGAATTCTTTAAGAATTGAGTCAAATCAGATAAAATTTATGAATACTAACTAATAGATTTAAATTTGGGCTACTGAAATATTTTTATTGTTGCTCAGTTGGAAATAAAAATGTTGTTTTCATCAGAAAATATTATTCAAGTGATTTATGTACCATTCAAATATGTGGTTTTGATATTTATAAAAAGCACGATGTACACAGTGGACAAATTAGAGTGATGGGATGCTACTTTAGATTATTCTTTATCCTCTATTATTTTCCATTTTCAGGGAAAATAATCTAAAAGAAAAAGAACAATCTAATGCAACCTCTTCTAATACTAAAAGCTGATGTTTGAAATTTTTTTAACAAGGTTAAGCTGGTTTAGTCGCATATTTTACATATGGTTGGTATATGCTAAAGTTCTTGAAAGCAGTAGGATTACCCAACTGAACTAAACGAGCGTGAGAATCTAGGTAAAATATTCTCCTAATCATCAACTCAGTAATGTAAAAGTCTTTTTCAAAAGAGAACGCTTTTAGCTTTCTAATGATCTCCGGATTCATTGCGGTGCGGTGCTTTTTGTGAGTTATTAGAGTCCAAAATCAAAAGTGGCCTTTTTACTTTAATAGTTACTAACCGACCCGGTAAAAATCGCACCACTTTCTTCGAAAATGCACTTTACAGGACACAGATTGAACTTTTAGATTAGATAGTTTCAAAAAATTTCCTTCCACCTTAATATTCTCACACTCTGTAAAGATTGAAGGTTCTACCCTTGTTTCCCTTCGCTTTAATTTTACTAAAGTGTTTGCTGGGGATGAAAAATTTAATATTACGTGTACATGAATATGTTTATCAATTGAAATCTCTAAAATTGTTTGTAATTATTTAATTCTATAGTGTAAAAAATAGACTCACGAGATTAAAGTTACTCACGGAATATGGTGTATTAACTTGGAACACAGGAAAAGAATGGAAGTAAAAGCTATTTTTTTAATTTTATTTATTTTTTAAGCTCATCAATTCTTATCATAACAATAAAATTGATTTTCATTTTAAATTGATATAAATCCACTGTCATATTTTCCAATATCCTCGTCAATTTCACATTTGTACTCAGAATTCAGTTTCCATCCTTCAGGACAATCAGTACCGAATGTCTTCTCTTCATTATCTACTATTTTCCTGTGATTTCTACCATTTCCCGATGACTCATCGTAATTCACAGAAGCCGCATTTGAATCATTTAAGATGACAAAGATGAGCACAATAATCAATAAAATCTTTCCTCGTAGGTCCATGGTATTTTCAAAAATAACAAATCGATAGTCCTTAAATGGTTAAAACATTTGTTATTCTTTCGATTTAACAAAATATAAATACAAAGAAAATGATGATTAAATACTTATAGATATTTTTTTTTATTACAATTTTGACAAGCTCTTTAGATAATGATGTATTTCAATGTAAAAGGTTATCAAAGGATGTTGTATATTACTGTTTAATGTGAATATTATCAAATGAAATATGCGCCTACTGTGAAATAAATTTAATAAATTTATCAAAATACTCTTCATATGTATATTAGTAATTTAATAAAATTCTTAGAAATCTATGAGTCTTTAAATTATCACTTCCTCTTTTGTAAGTTAATTCATCATTTTGTCTAAAATAAAATAATAAATTTATTACCTTTGATTTGTTTCAATATAAATAATGAGTTCTTGATTAGAAGTAAACAGGTGAATTGATATTTTAAAAAATTTGAAGTAAAAAAATCAATGACACTCGAAGGAATTCAATCATTTAACTACCGTAATTCATTGATATTCATATATATATGTGTGACATGAAAAATATATAAAATTTAATTTTAGTGATATCAAATTTTATTGGTCTTTCATTTCTTCTGTGTTTCATAATGTTATTTTAGTTTGCACATTAAATCATAATTAACATTTAATGCACTTGTTAAAATATGTTACTATTCTTTCAAAATGTTCTTATCAATATCTTATCTGGTTTTAGCTCAATTAGTTTAATGTTGATACAAATGAATAAATTATGTGCGCAATATTTTTGGATGAAGATTACTATAAAGTCAAATTAGAAGGACAAATTCAAGTTGATTACATCAAATTCCTTCTTATGTTTTTGTATACGCTTTTACTTTCAAGATAAATAATGTTTTTTATTATTTTTTAACAAGAGATCATTGAATTTTAAATGATGTTAAAGTTAATTTATTTATTACTCCGTATGTTTGGTTAAAAAATCAATAAATAGTGGAATCTGTTGAACAAACAGGATTAATCAAAGCTATCTTCAATTTGAAATTTCCGAATATTGCAAAAATTCTATTGTAAAAATATCTCTAAACTGCAGAATAAATCTGGGATTTATCAAAATACCTTACTTCATCTAGTGGAATTTTTTCTTAATGATATTTTAACTTGGTATAATTCTGTATATTTGAAATAGGAATTTTCAGTTCTACTTTTGGCCATAGTAAATTTATTAAAAATGTTTCACTAAATCTTTACTCACAATTTTTTGATAAACTCTTCATATTTAAATTCTTATTTATTCTAAAATAAAATATAATGTTCTACAAAATCTCTTTTCTTATTTCGATTTTTTTTTCTGAATAAAATAAAAATATAAAACAACCGTTACACATTAGTGTCTAGAAGAAATAACATTGTATTATAGCTTTTTTATCAGTCTATTTGACTCCTACATGCTTCTTGTTCTATATCCAACACTCTGAACTTGAATTATTTATTTTAACTCAGATCAAACCAATTGTTTCTCTACCAATCAACTAATCACACTGATAAACAGCAAAGTTTCCAATAATCTTTGTTTCAAATATTTATCTAACGAATAAAAATTGCAAGAATTTTTTTCTATCGATAAAACACATTTAGAAAATCAGAAATGTGTTTCCTCATTTATTTTTATTTTTCTTTCTACAAATTAAAAGTTATATAAACTATAAGTTTTTACTTTAGTTTGTCAAATCAAAATTACACAGAAAAAGTTTACTTCAAAAATAAAGTTCGTTTGAGAATTGAAATAAGATCTACATTTATAAATGAATGTGTAAATTAAATAACAAACTTTAATAAAGTTATTAATTTATATTTCTATAATAATTCAATAATATTTTTACAATTAATAAATTAATTGAAATTGTTTTATTAATTATTAATACAGAGATTTGTTTGTATAATTTTCAAAGTCATTTGGATAAATTCTACAATTATTTCATTTTCATGAATACAAATAAATTACATAACAATTTAAATTACGTTAAATCATCATGAATTGAAATTTTATTATGAATTTATTGAAAAACTGATCCATTATCATCACCAACAGTACCAGGTAAATTGTCAGTTTTTTCACTGTCACTACAATTAGGACTTTTTTTGTCATCAATCCGACTTCCTGCTTTGAATTTATCTTTATGCTCCTCTAATTGCTGTTTTATCCATTTTCTATCGATTGGTGAAGCATTCAAGGCACCCAAACATGCAAAGAATGCTAATACTCCCAAACATAACAAATGAATCCACTTCATTATTATATTTTTGAAAGAAGAATGTTATGATAAAATTTTTCCTCCGTTGAAACTGCTCTATTCTATTGATATAGAATTAGATCGATTTTTAAAATAAATGTGTTCCTTTTTGGGAAATACTTATGACAATTGAATAAAACTCGATCAATTGTAGAAATGAAACGACTCTGGTAGAGACTAACAGTCGACTGATAATTCACTCAACATTTCTTGTCTTTTTATACTTCTTCCTTATCAATTCATGAATATTAAACATTAAAAAATTGTATATTTTATTTATCTTCAATATTCAGCTCTAATGATGGTTATGAATATTTATTATCAATTATTGGATTTTAATAAAAATAATTTTACTCATGAAATTCATTCAGTCATCCTAAAAATTTTTTCAAATTAATTCATTGTTTATAAATTACTAGTTTATCGTCACAATTAAATTCTCACGTACTTATTGGAGTACTACATTGTTATGCAACAAATAGTTAACTAATTTCTATTGATGATTATTGATTGTCATGTTGGTTATTTTTTAACGTGATACATTTTTATTTAATTCTCGTTGTGAAACGAATATTCTGTTAAGAACAGTTAACAAAATTATTGACAGTAGCAAGAATGAGGGTGTTTTAATTAAAGTTAAAATATATAACTTGAAACTTTGACAATGAGTAAGTTAGCATATGTTCATAATAGCTTCCGAGATACGAACTTTCAAAGTGAATGAACTTTACTAATCTTAGAATACGTAAGCATTCATTCAATGTTTTAAAGCATACAATTATCATATAAGTAAAGACTTTTGAAACTGTACAGAAAGAGTTTAAAATTATTCTTTACATTATACAGTTTTATTGCATTTGTTAATTTTTTTCTCTACACTAAAAGTTGATGTACTTCAATTCAGAACTTTTTTTTTATGCAATAAAAATTCTCAAGTAAAAAAAATGATGTTATTTGAATGGAAACTTATCATATATTTTTTTCAATATTTTATGTAAATTGCAGTGAAACGATATTCAGACTTTGAGAAAATATGACAGAGAAGCTGAAAATCAACATTCAATTGCTCCATAATATATCACGATGGAGATGACTAA